TCTCTCTCTCTCTCTCTCTCTCTCTCTCTCTCTCTCTCTCTCTCTCTCTCTCTCTCTCTCTCCGACGCTGATACTCACTTCGTTCAACTCGAATGACTTTAGTTCTTCGTACGTCAAGCTCGAATATTTGGCGGCTCCGAAATTCGAGATGTTCAGTAGTCAAATAAAATCGCGCATTCCTGCAGTCAGATAAAGTCTCGTCGCCGAAATACTTTCCGTCTCGGGGACCAGCTGATTGCAAGATTAAACAGCCGCGACAACGTGCCGTGCGATAACAGTTTATCGCGAAGATAATCACTTAGAGTCTGTTGTGAGCAACGTGTTCTCACGACAGATCCACGATGAGGCCTAAAGTTCAACCAACATCAGCAGTTGTATATCTACGTGGTCCTTGTTCTACTCATAATTTAGCGTTTAAATTCTGTTACTTTATATTTACTGCTAATTGCTGTTGATAAAGCAGCAAAGTGTTTCTCGCAATATTCATAGACCCGTAATAATTTTTACTCGACACTTACTTCAGCTGAGATACTCAGATTTGAATTTAAGGTCATTAATAGTCGTTACTTGAAACTTGTTTTCACGTGAGATACTTAGATTTGTATTCAGAGTTAATTTGGAAGTTTTTAGTTAAAACATATGACATAGGTATGCGACATTATAGTCTGCATCAATAGTTGTTACTTGAAACTTGTCTCAAATGAAATTTTCAGATTTGAATTTAAAGTTAGATGCGTTAGATGAGTTTCTTACAAGTAAACTAAACCAAAAGGCACATTCCGATTTCTTTTCAATTTGGCACAAATGTAGAAGTACAAGAAATATTTAGGTTATATTTTTTATTTTGGCCTACTTGGAGTTTTATGGGCAATTTATAGCTTTCTAATGTTTTCACTTCTATCATCAACAAGCATAACAAAAATGCATAAGAAATAACATTGAGAATACAAGATATGGTTAAATAATTTTAACAAAATCAACATAGCTGAGACAGGAACTATTCTAAATTTCTTTAGCCGAGATTCCAACCGAAATATTTTAAATTTATGCAAAATGAGTAAAAAATGGTTAAAATCTCGGCTAAATCGCGCAAGAGAAATCCGGCAATTTTAATTAAAATTTTAACAAAATCAGCATAGCTGAGAAGCAAACCATTCTAAATTTCTTTAGCCGAGATTCCAACCGAAATATTTTAAATTTATGCAAAATGAGTAAAAAATGGTTAAAATCTCGGCTAAATCGCGCAAGAGAAATCCGGCAATTTTAATTAAAATTTTAACAAAATCAGCATAGCTGAGAAGCAAACCATTCTAAATTTCTTTAGCCGAGATTCCAACCGAAATATTTTAAATTTATGCAAAATGAGTAAAAAATGGTTAAAATCTCGGCTAAATCGCGCAAGAGAAATCCGGCAATTTTAATTAAAATTTTAACAAAATCAGCATAGCTGAGAAGCAAACCATTCTAAATTTCTTTAGCCGAGATTCCAACCGAAATATTTTAAATTTATGCAAAATGAGTAAAAAATGGTTAAAATCTCGGCTAAATCGCGCAAGAGAAATCCGGCAATTTTAATTAAAATTTTAACAAAATCAGCATAGCTGAGAAGCAAACCATTCTAAATTTCTTTAGCCGAGATTCCAACCGAAATATTTGAAATCTGTGCTGAATTAGTCAAAAATGGTTTGAATCTCAGCCACACTGAGGAATTATTTGTATAAATAATTTTTTCTCAAGTTTTACATTTTGTTTAAACATTTTATTATTTATACAAATAATTTTACACATTTGACTTTATATTCATAACCAGCAAATAAAAAACGCCTATATACTTTGTATTCAATATGTCTCGCATATATTATGTGATTCAAGTAGGAACACTCGAATCTAACTCTAAATTCAGATCTGAGTATCTCACGTGGAACAAGTTTCAAGTAACGACAATTAATATGAGCCATATTGTTGTGCCTTATCGACATGTTTATGATGCACTTTTCACAATTTGCGACTAAGTGCGGGAATTTTCGGAGGAAGTTGGATGTCGATTAGAAACTACGTACGGTTTGCGGTGAATAACAAGACTCGAATCGACGCGATACATACACGCGTTGTGCTCGAAATCGTCCGGCGTTCGCTGGCGCGGAGGCAGCGCGACGGCTTACTGATTACTCCGATCTGCTCAATTTGACCGAGGTATGAGAAGAGCCACGTGCCGGGTATTGGTCGAGGACTCTGCAGCGTTGCCACTCGGTGTGTTGCTGTCTTCAGCTGCGACCATTGAGAGGTCGTTCAAGTTCCTCTTGACAGTACGGCAACGTTGACAGTGTCGCGTTCGCGTTCACGCGGCATCGCGCTCCCCGGCACCTAAATCGAGAAGCAGTTTACGGCGTTCCACGGCAGTCAGGAAGCCCAACGCCGCCGGCAGAGAACCGATATGGCAACGAATGGTCGTAGAAAGCGGGTACGGAAGAATGGAAGACACGGAGGGACGCGTGTACCTATGAGCGCGTAGACACTTACATATTTTATTTATAGCTTCTCAAGACTAGCCAAGCGTCGCGGGAAACTACGGCACGCGTCTCCTCCTCCGAGTTCGGCGCTGCCGATTGTGGCAGGATCGACCGGAGAGTTTGAACTTATGCGTGCAATTGGTATGCGAATGTTTGGCGAAAGCCGAATTGCGTTCGAGGGGGTTTTATACAAGGGAACAATGGTCGGCTCAAAACTCCGGAAGTGCCAAGTAAAACGACACTTTAGGACTTTAGGTATGGCGTGCAGTTGAGGTGATTCACATCTCTGAGAAAGATCTCTGCGCATCCATCCGAGTTAAGCAAAGTTAAATAATAGCATGGCATTTTGCTAATATGGTGCCCTAAGCGTGCTGATGGTACTGTTAATAATATACCTCTTTTTCGAGGTTTTTATACCAAAGTAGTTATTCGATAAGCCAGTTGTAGCTCTACTACTAATCTATAGTTTACGTTACATGTACTGTAAATTTTCTAAAAAAATAATGGAAGTAAGTTTAAAACTCTCTATTTTGTTTTATATAGAAATATATATTATAGAAACAGTTTTAAGAGATTTTATTTTGAATAAATTTATAAATTTATGACAAAATATTCTCATTTGAAGGAGAGAACACGATAAAACTTTGTATCACGAAATTAATATATTATAATTTTAGGCAGACATTTTTTTACTCCACAGCTCACTCTCTCATTCTCACATATAAAATGTATCCGCGCGCGCGGATTCACTTCCTCACAAAAAGCTTGCTCCTTCTTACGTAAAGTCTTGCATATAATTACATCTCAGCAGTTTTGACATTCATCTTCCTTTATAGCGCTGTTTTGTTAAATGTAGCGCGGCACATGCTGGAAGTCGTTGGACGAGCGTCTTGCTACATGACGTCATTATCATCGTCATCTGCCCCACAACCACGCAAGATCACCGATGGACATGATATCTCTTGAAGACGCCTTTGATATTAGATACGCTTGCAGCAACGAGTGCTTCTCGGTACTGTGTGTGTCAACTGCGAAACGAGTTACTCCTCATGTCTGCGCAGCACGTGCATAAAAAATATCGCTGTCTCGACTGTTTGCTCGCTTGTTCTCGAAGAGAGAACAATCCGTGGGAATTTATCAGTAATCTCTCTTCGCGTGTCGAACAATAAATTTAATATTCGCGCTTGTTAAAAGTCCAACATTCACATGCAAATCGTAAATCACTTGTCTATACAGGCTTAACGTTTGTCCGTCAAGGTTTAACATAGAATCAAAATTTCGACTCGGGTACATCGATCTTTCAGAAAATGCAGATATTCAGAAAGTTCAGTAAAAAAATAGGGCTAAAATTGCGACCCAGGGTATGTGCAACAATAAATAATATTAAGTGATAAATTAAAAATATAAATTTGTTAAATATTTGTAACGTAAATAATTTGCGGTGTAATTTACGCGCCATGCAGCTCTTCGCGTTTCAAATTTTCATGCGCTCGTTGGAGGGTTAATGGCGTTCGATGATAATTTTACCGGCGCGATTATTCGGAACATTTCCTTTCCATTTCCTCTTTCTACAGTTCGTTTCGTGTCGCTCCTCTAGCTGAAAATACCCCGCGCTTTATAATATTACTAATCCCGATGACGTTAATCCCGTCTGTCGATGATCTACGGCGTCTCGGAGCGCGGCTGTCCCGCGGAACGTCCGGTTCCATTACGCCGTTCGTTGTTGCGTCCAATGACTGTGAGGATTTATAGACGCGTGTAGGCACTGTCCTCCCTAGAGTGAATGGGTTTTATCATTTCGTAGAGCCCCGTGAAATTCCTCACGGCCGGCCGACAATGATGGCCAATCAACAAACCATTCTGATCGCCGCGTGCGCGGATTACAAAGGCGTCTTCCGAACGAGTCGGTCAGTCAGTTCGGAGTGTCCCTTCCGCTGATCTCCGCAGCTCCTCGACAACGACCATTTTTCCTCTCGAGTCACTCCTGACTCGCCACGAGGCGAATGTATTCTACATGGTGTTTCGTGGGAGCGCGAAGCCTGCACAAAGTGGTCTTTTTGCAATGGGTGGATACGCAAACATTGACCCAGTCGCGTTTTTATCTGCGGCGCGAATTATCACCGGCGGATCTTGTCCAGGTCTCAGACCTGGACGGTGTTTCCCTTTGCGGTACCAAAATGGCGCTCCCGCTGCGGAAACCGCGGGCGGGTAATCCGAAACCGTTGAACTACATTTTCCGCGGGTTAATCACCGGCGCGGTGACACGCGCGTGTCGCAGCGAAGGACTTTATTTCCAGACTATCCGCGTTGACGAAGATCACAGATCTTTTCTCCCTAGTCTATTTTCAGATATAATGAAGAATACACAGTTGACTCCTCGTGGTTCCTATTTTCATCCGTGCTCGCCGGCGAAGAAGACGTTTCTCTCGTCGCGCGGAAATTACCGTGCGAGAATCGTACGGATGTCTCGCGATTTTTCTCAGAGCCACTCCGCAAATTACAAAGTAACGCCGCTTCTGCGTACCCTTCAAACGCGCGACTTAATAGGAGATCTAAGTGCGGCCACTTCTATTTCTATCTAGCTTGTCCTTGCACCATGGTATATTAATAGATAATAAATCGCGCGCCACATGCACACATATTGACTTCAATAAATTTATTTCGACGAGTTCGTCGCACCTGCTTGTTCAAACTGACATTTAAACGAATATTCAATCTGTAGAGCTCCTCATGCAAAGTAGACATTGTATTACTTTTGTCGAATATTGTTTGACAGACAGTGCTTGCTCTTATCCCGGTAAAATTTACAGCTGATCACCCAGATGAAGTTTTAGCGTCACCTTATCTTATTCTAGATAAAAATATAAATTATCTTCATCTGCATTTTAGAAGAAAAAAAGCGTCATCTTTACAAATTATCTAAAACGATGTTCAGATCTGCTCTACATTGCTGCAAATTTGTAAAATATTGAAATGTTTGCTTTTATGTAATAGACATTTACGTTACTGATTGTATCAGACTTCTTTGAGACCGAAATTGCATTTGGATTCGTCTATAATCAGGGCAAAGTAACAACAAATTTATATTTTTCGCAGAATTTGTTTATCGAGTAGCACATTTGAAAAACTTGTTGTTTTGCGCAATAAAATCTCATAAATAAAAGTATATAAACATATATTTTTATATTCCTTTTATAATTTACCACATTTTTCCATAACTGTTTTTATATAAAAGATGAAAACATTATTATCTGGCAATTATCGAGATAAATTGCCATTTAACTTTATCTTCTATTTAGATATATTTAAAATAAAATCATTACCGTCTTGTCTACGTATTTATATACTTTCATTTTTATCAAAGTAATTTTTAAATTATCTACTATTGACAGGTAATTCCTTGAGATTTATGCGTTTTGGAAAAATACTATCAAATGCTCCATCAAGGAGTAAAATTCGACCAGTAAAAGTCAAGAAAAGAAGACTACCGATAGATTAATATATAATTAGTAATTTGAATAATAAAAACTGTCATTGCAACCGTCGGAGTAACAAAACATCGAGAATTTAATTGGCACAGCGTTGAGTTTGTGGAATTCTTTTACATAGAAGGCGAATTATACTGAAAATGATGCATATCAAAAGACAAAATCTATGATTTCAATTTGCAAAGTGACATTGATCTAATAAATCCAATAAATAATCAGAGAGTTTGAGTAGCGTCATTATTTCTTTCTCGCCCTGCGTATCGCCGCGCACGGTTTCTACTTGACAAAATTGAGAATAGACCTTGTGTATGTGTGTGTACTGAGTTTTTGCTGTTTTTTATATTCCGCTTAGTGGCGTAGTTCCTTATTGTTCGATACACGAAGGCTCTGTTCCTTGCGGCCTGCCGTGCTGTTCGCGTCTTTACATCTCTCTTCGTGTTTGTTGTTATGTGTGGTAGACTCGGATTTTAATGGTACGTGTTGCTCTTTTTCGTTTATATTGTCTCAATTTTCTTTTATTTCTTTCTATTACTTTAAACACTTATTTTTTTAAATTAAACACTTGGCCAAATGCTATAGAATTCTTTGCAAAAGAGGCAAGAAAGTTAAAAAATCTGACGAAATTTTTGAATTCTATAAACTGCAATAACCTCTCATTATTCGGACTATTCGCGTCTAATTTATTGATAAGATCTTCTGTTGTGTAATCTAACTTGCAAGATATCGAGATAGTGGTTATGTGTTCCTTTTTTACTATCGTATTGGTTGTTTTATACATGTTTACATTGAAGAAAATCTCTGGAGCGGGATCGACACGTTTGTTTTCATAAGCAATCTCTTTATATATACTACTCTTTATCACGGACTTACACCTGCGCTTTAAATTCTAACTGGTACAATGTTTCTTTCAATTCTTTATCTAATAGCCTTCAACACTACTTCACTACTAATCGTTTCCTTAGGACTTTTTCTATTAACGCTATGACGCACAAAACGAATTGTAATGATCGAAAAATATATGACGCCTTAATTAGTGATTGCTAGTAGACTAATAGACCTCAGTAGGCACTTGAAATGCGCCTTGAACAGTTGAAGCCACTAAATATTGCAGCTCTGAGTCGTACTGCTTGTACTTAGGCACTGTTTATAATTTATAAGTGTTACACACAGTACCCCTAACTAGCTGCAGTTCGACGTATCGGCAGGTGGACGTAGTTGCAGGCCTTGAGGAAAAAGGGAGCAGCCGGTGACCTGCTGACGAAGTGGAGGGGACCTTCGGTGATGACACGACGCCATTAACTGTAAGTCCACCGACGCGTGCATGGCACTCTTTGCCAGTTCCAGTGTAATCCCGAAGCGATTCGAGCACTCGAATCTTGGCGACCGTGGCGGTGAAGCGTGTCTACGAAAAAGTGTCGATTAAAAGCATTCTTCCCACAGAAATAGTAAGTACGGCCGCGGGAGGAGCGTTATTTCTGAAAACATAGAAATCCGCGACCAGTGGCGTGCCAAATGCTCCGATTGTGGCGTCGCATCGTGTGTCATGGCAGTGGAGGAAACGCTGGAAGCCGTGTCGCGAGTCGCAACGTCGGTTCATCGCGCCGAAAACGGACAGTGTGATGCGTTTTTCTCGCGAAAATGTGCGGGCTTTGTCGACTTGGTCGTGTAACGTCCGTTTGCTTTTTGCACACAGCTGCTGGAATATGCGCGTCTGAGCCGAGCACTTCGCTTCATGTAGCACGAGCCGGCCCAGCGCTGTCAACTTTTGGCGCACTCTTGCCGCGTTTTCGAGATTGGCTCGCGAAAGTGGCGGGATTGGACGTTGACGTAATCGTTCAAACGTAGAGTACCGCTTTCTGAAAATACGATTCTGGCTTTCTTAGTCCCACGACGAGTCCCCGACACGTGCATCTACACCGTGTTTACGTTGGTAACTCTGACACGCGTTGACGCCCAGGTTTTACGACGCCGCTCGATAACGTCATCGCGTAGTCGGTGATTACACGCGAGCGCGCGCGCACTTTACGCAAATTCGAATTCTGATTTCAGCGCGAACAATGACGATCCTGCAGTCCTGCTGGTCTCCCTGCGTCTGGTCGAACAGCATCAAGACTGGCTCTAGAGCCATTGCGTTTTACACAGTGGTGAGTATCACGCAATTGGCTGACAACAAGTATCCCCAAATCACAGGTAACAGATAGTTGTTCAAGAGAATTCAAGAAAAAGCGTCCTTAATTATAAAGCCTGCTGCGTGAACAGTGAATAATCAATGTCCGTTTCCTTTCAGGCGATTAGTATAGTGTTAATTACGTTAATATGCTACCAAATGGCTGGTGGCGATTCCACACAAATATACAATCCGTTGTTCGAGGCTGATGTGAGGGGCTGTAAGTATGACATGAATTCCTCATTTGGAACTACAATACGAAAGAGATCTATCTAATTTCAAAGAGACACTAATATCAGTAGGAGGCAAATAATAAACCCATCTGGTTTAACGTTAAGGTAGTTATATCGTGAAACGAAGGAATTTGATGAAACTTGCACTACAACGAAATATTCATTATCTAAATACTCATACAATTAGAAAAAGACTGTTCGAGAGTTGAGATATTTGCTACTAAAGTTGATATTTCTCACACGTTTTCCATGAAGTTAACGTGCTGTGTGATAATTTCTACTTTCAATATCTTCTAAACTGCATGTAAAATTTGGATGAAAGTCTATCATGATATTAAAGGATTATTAACATGCAGACATTGTATACAAATTTCAGAGTTATTGACTATTCTACTTGCAAAATACAGCGAGATGGAAAGTTTATAATTTATAGTAATACTCAAAATATATATGCAGATATTTAAATACTTTCATATCTATTCCTATTATTTTCACATCTTTGTTTTAGATAAACTAATGAATAAATGAAGTAATCATCAAATAAAAAAATTCATTAAATAATAAACACTAATAGTTTCTTCGTGTTCGTAAAATTGTATGTATATATGTTTTTTTCCCAATTTCGTTCTAAATTAACAAAAACCCTCAAATATTGAAATGAATGTAATTTTGTTTGACAAACTGTAGTATGCAAACTGTAGTTAGCAAACTGTATAGTATGAATGACTCTTTTGATGCGTTACTGAAAATAGTATTGTATAGCATACAACTTAAAATCTTCAATGATAAATTTGCCTCGTTTCCAAAATGAACAATTCGTACGAAAAGTTTCCATATTCATCGGTTACAAAATATCATCGTATACTGCTACGTTTATCTCGAGACAAGATAAACACAACGATATTACGATATTTTTAATCATTATGTTCACTTTGTCGCCCTGCAAGAATGTAAAAATAAGCTCGACACATTTTTTATTTTCAGCCATGCAAATTATTGGCGGCTTCTTCATCTTCTACTTGTTGCTGCTGATCATATGCGCCATGTTGATAGTATACGGAGTGAAAGAGGGAGTGCGCGGCTGGTTGTTGCCTTGGCTTGTCTCGTGGTTCATCGTTTGCATGTTCCAATTCGTCTTTGGTCTATGGCTTTTGGGCGGATACTATATTTACGTGAGTCCTTTTTTCTCTCACTTCGGCGGTGACTTTGTTATCGTCTGATATGCACTCACAATTAGTGCGCGGTATCACCGATTCACTGTTTTGCTTACAGTTGGACTCTGTATTCGCGACATTGTGCAATTGGCTCTGGATGTCTTACAATGTAAGTGCAGAGTATCGAGTATATTGCAACACCTCGACGTTATCTCAGATATTTTTATTCCTTTATATCTCTGTCATGTTGTCTGTGTTTACAGTTATACTGTTGGCTGGTCGTTTTGTCGATGTACAGAATATTCGCAAAGCTGCAGTCTCCCAACATAGAACTCTTATGGCCTTGAAGCAAAACCACGCGAGCAGCGATGCGTATATCCGAATGATATATACGAGAGTACATCAATTGACGCCAAAGTAAGGGAGAATCTCTGCGTGCACTCAGTCGCAAAAATCGACGTAAGGAAAATGTGCGTGTTCGCAAAGAATTACGAAAAACGAGTCCGATTAGGATATCTATGTTGTAAGGGTTTTAACGGAAGTTGACGAACACACTTTCTCGTCGATTCTCATACTTCATACGCAATCTTCCTTAGATATAGATCTTTGCGAACGTGTACAGTAGGTCGCAAAACGGCTTAGACTCAATGAATTTTAGAGCGTAGCTAATGGTCCAGTAGGAGAACAAATTATTCAAAAATAAGTTCTCTTATTGGATCATCGATTACGCTCTGAAGTGTCTAAATCATTTTGCAACCCACTGTACGTACTTTTGATATATGACACGAATATATATATACATGTGTATATATGTGTGTGTATGTGTATATATATATATATATATATATATATATATATATATATATATATATA